TGAGTACACGCATCTTATAGCTGCTTTCGTGCACGCAAAATGTGGCTTCTAAAGGCTTGTGGTCCTTGATCAATCTCGTTTACTAATTCTGAGATGTCATCGACATGCATGAAACATGGTGGACTGCTTACCCTGATCACTCTTGTGATTACTTTCGTACATCATGATGTACTGTATATGCTTCCTGTTGACATTTTGTTGTATATAATATGTATCAAGATATAGCCTTACGACATCTCTGCTGCTATTGTATCAGGTTGTTGACAAGATGCAATCCGGTGGGGCCAAGAACGATCGGCGAGCTGAGTTGCCAACTATTGGTCTTGCCGAGCAAGTGATAGAGGAACTTGAAACCCTGAAAGCCAAAGATGTAGACTGGCAGGGAAAATGCTCTGGCACCGTGTATGTGCACCTCATTCTCACAGACAATAAACTGAAACTAGTGCATCCCATCACGTTTCAATTTATTAGACTTTGATTTGGTCATCATGTTGTAAACTACTCATTCTTTTCTATCAAACAAAATTTATTGGTTAACTTTTCTTGCAGATATATTGCTGGAAGTGAGTCTGAGGGCCATTTTGAATTGATAAACAAGGCGTACTCTATGTAAGACTGATATTTCCTTTATGTCACTTTCAATCTTGATTGATCCAAATCTCATCTAAATGCGACATGCCTTTCTCAGCTTAAACAGGAAATATAGCAAAGTTAGGTGTCTCTGATTGCATTTTATATCTAAGTTTGAGAATGTGTCTTCATTCAGAACTCATCAGTGGGCGAAGAACGAATTCCAAGTCATTGCTGGTGTTTGTGGAATGCCTTTTTTTTATTAACCAATGTTCAAAGTTTCCATGTGATTCTACTTATCTTATTTTAGCCCTTCCATAATTTAATTTAGACTCAAAAATTCTGATCTGTTATGTTGATTATGGGTACCACATCAGTAGACGTTTTTTTAAAAAAAAAATCTTTTTTCAGGTTTTCACACACCAATCCGCTCCATCAAGATGTATTCAAGAGTGTGGCAACCATGGAAGCTGAAGTAGTTGCAATGACAGCTGCTTTACTTGGCAGCAAAGAAAAATCATCTGGTGGACAAATTTGTGGCAACATGACATCAGGTGGAACTGAAAGCATATTATTAGCAGTCAAAACAACACGTGACTATATGCGATCAAAGAAAGGGATTACAAAGCCTGAAATGTGAGATAATGGTTCATTATGTTTGATGTTCTCGACAAGTACCTTTTTCTTTTGAAAGTTCTACAACTTATTGTCTCTATGGTAAGAAAAGGTTATTGTACACAGGATAATGGCTGAATCAGCACATTCTGCGTATGACAAAGCTGCTGAATACTTCAATATTAAAGTGCGGCGTGTACCTGTGAACAAAGAGTTTCTTGCAGATGTGAAAGGATTCAAACGATGCATAAATGGAAACACCATAATGGTAAGCTTTTTCATGATTTTAAATCACAAATGGTCCTCAATGTTCTTGCCCAGTATGGAATATCAATGGAAACACAACAAAGGAACATTATATATAATGTCGCCTAACAAACTCCTGTTGTACAGATGATTGGATCTGCACCAGGATTTCCGCATGGTTTAATCGATCCTATCGAGGTATGAAGCTAAATTATTATCATGTTAAAACATTACTATGTCATATAATTCTTAATGCATGACTGGTTTGTTGGTTGCTTCACAACATATCTCCAGGAACTTGGGGAACTGGCTTCGCGCTATGACATTTGCTTGCATGTTGATTTATGCCTTGGTGGCTTTGTACTGCCTTTTGCTCGTAAGCTTGGGTACGAGCTCTCTTCATAGCCATTAGTTTTTCCTAGCCATATTATTTTACTAGGTATCTGTACTTTGAAGAACTTACTAGACAATTTCAAAATGAGCTTTCTATTTATTGCAGTAACTTGATGATTGGCCTAACAATAATTTCCTCATTAGGATAAAAGTAAAGTTCTGAATGCCTAGAATTGTTATTTGTAGGATCATAACACCATGGTTCCTGCAGGTTGCAAAATTTTCTTGTAACCCCTCAATATGTGCACCCCAACTTGAAGCAGTTGAAATGATTATAAGTTTTCGTCTTAAAACACTATGTTCATTCAAATTCTCTAAGTTGATGTTTGAGGTTCAGGATTTTTTTAGATTTGTTTGCCAGCCAACATCAATTGCCTCTATGTAAAAACTTTCATCATTGACAATAAATAAACTTAGAAAATGGTTACAACTTACAACTAAATATGATATAGGATAACCACATATGAAAGCAATATGTTTGATTGCTGTGATCTTCAATATAATTGGAGGTGAACAAAAGCTTCTGGTTAAAGATCAACTTGTCACAAATCTTGATAGGTTTTGTCTGTGTGTTTTTGCCTTCCCTTTTGTGGGACATTGGTTGATTTTTGGGATCTAGAAAGAATAGCGGTATGTCAATGGTATCCATTAAATTTTTTGTTTGTGAACTTTGATTTTCTGAAAGTGCTACGTTTTTTGTATTTTGTTTTGTGTTTTATCTGCAATATGCAGGTACCCTATTCCTCCTTTTGATTTTTCTGTCAAGGGTGTTACATCAATCTCATCAGATGTTCATAAGTACGGATTAGCACCAAAAGGCACAAGCATTGTCCTGTACAGAAATCATGAAATTAGAAAGGTAAGAAGAACCATGGTATGTCTGTCTTTACTTTACTCGACCAAAATTCTAACATTTTCCTCTCTGTGTGATTCACTCTGACATCTGGGATATCACCAACAAATTCAGCATCAGTTTGTTGCTGGTAAGCTCTTCCTCTTCTTCCAAAATAAAATGGAACTTCTTTAATGAACTTATGTCTTTTTAACTTATGTTCGTATTAATGTCATATATTGGTTTCCGTTATGGAAAATACATATAACTGGCCGTTGGGGCCATTATATAAAATCAGGTGGGGAACGCCTCCCCCCATTGACCTTCACAAAAAAATATAGCTGGAAGAACTGTTAGCTGTAATTTTTTTTTTTAAATGGTCTGGAGAAGTTGGATATGCTTCCGCTATCCGTGGAAGTAGTACTTGGTTCCTGAAAATCCTTTGTTATCTGAACTTCTTTGAGTCTTCTTCAAAAGTTTGAATAGTGATTTACAATTGCATTTGTGTTTCCTTGTTTGTTCAGTTACTGAGTGGACTGGTGGGCTTTATGTTTCTCCCACTATGGCTGGAAGCAGGCCAGGTGGATTAATTGCGGGAGCTTGGACTGCTATGATGTCTCTCGGACTGAATGGTGACAAACTTATTCTGAAATTCCATCAGTGTGTAGTGGTGGCTTAGAATCAAATAGTACTTGTGATGTATACCATTGCTTTTCTTGCTTCCAGGCTACTTGGACAGTACAAGCCGTATCATGGAAGTTTCGAAGAAAATACAAAGAGGGTAAACTTGTTTGCTTATTATGCCTGAACTCTGAACTATGACTACAAGACATAAGACAAACTCTGACTGTAGCTATGTTTTACCCATTTTTGTTTATTTATTTATTGTAACTTTTTAAATTGAAGTAGTATTCACGCAGATATTTATTTTCTACTAGTATGCATGGTCAAATGCCAAATTAATTAGCACACTTGTAATATTTCTATACTAAGAATAGATGTGCTTCCTTTTGTTGTGACTGGATCATCAAAATGGATCACTGCTTAGCTGTGGGTAAAATTTTATGGCTTGTGCAGGATTGGAGAGATCCCAGGGTTGTTTGTGATTGGGAAACCAGATATGACCGTTGTGGCGTTCGCCTCGGATGTTGTCGACATATTTGAGGTGAACGACATAATGTCATCAAAAGGTTGGCATCTCAATGCTCTGCAGAGACCTAACAGGTAAATCTTAGCTTCAGGCAAACAATTGTATTGTAGTCCCTCCGTTCCAAATTATTAGAGATTTTTGCTTTTCCACATACATAGCTTTTTATATGCACTTAAATATACATAATAAAAACAGTGTATCTAGAAAAACAAAAAAAGTCTTATAATTTGGAATGGAGGGAGTCCCTTCACCCCAGCAGCCATCGGTGCTATTTGCATTCTCGTCTAGTCTGACAATCCTTACCGGTTTCAGTTTGCACATTTGTGTGACCCTTCAACACACGACTATTTATGACCAATTCCTGAAGGATCTGCAAGATTCTGTGAACACTGTGAGTTGCTCAGCACGTGTTATGTTATGTCGCCTTATGGCTATTATTACCCTGATCTATTCCATCGCTAGGAAAGGCTATGTTTTCTTATGACGTTTGGCGTTGGCAGGTGAAAGCAAACCCAGGCCCTATTAGCGGTGGAATGGCTCCTATCTACGGCGCCGCAGGGAAGATGCCAGACAGAGGCACGGTGAAGGAGCTGCTTGTGGAGTTCATGGACAGCTCTTGCTGAACTGATTATGGCTTGTGAAGAACAGTCGCAGTGCTGTGATTTGTTTGCCTAGGTATACAAAGTTATCATAGGAAAGAGGGGAAAGTCATTGAGGCGATACAGCCACATGTATTAAGTATTAACGATTATTACAAGAAGTGTATCCGTATGATTGTATATCAATATCAGAGCATGCAGGTTTCAAAAAAAAATAAATATCAGAGCATGCATATGCAATGTACCACCAGGCTTACAAACGTATCTGTTCCTATAAAACATCATTTCAGGGGATAATAATAATAATAAACATTTGTTAGAAAAGATTGGGTAGCAAGAATACGTTTTCGGGAGATTACAATACGTCTTGTCCACCAACAAGCGTACTTTGGGAAGGCAATAAAACACCACGCACTTTCAGGATTTGAACCAAACGACGGTTGGTTCCGAGCTCCGGCCGTGCGGCAGCGCGGCACGGCGGTTGGTGAAGCAGGCATCAGCATCACGCGACGGAGGCGGCTGCAGAGGGCAATACCCCGGGGCGAGGCCGCGAGGGGCTGAGGAGGTGACGCTGCCGCGGATTGCCCATGCCGCCATGCGTCCATTCAAGCCCACCGCCGGCGCCCGCAGCATCGCCTCGCGCCTCGCCGGCGCCACCACTCCGGCGGACGCGCGCATGGTCAAGGCGGGCTCCGACCCAGCCACCTACCGCCTCGAACTCCACTTCAACCACCTCGTCTCCTCCGGCCGCCTCGCGGCCGCCGGCAAGGTGCTCGACCAGATGCCCGAGAAGAACACTCTCTATCTCAGATCACTCAACCGCCTCGAACTCCACCTCAACTACCTCGTCTCCTCCGGGCGCCTCGCGGCCGCACGCAAGGTTCTCGACCAGATGCCCGAGAAGAGCACCCTCTACCTCAGATTTCTCAACCGCATTCTCTGGGGATGCTCCAGGTCCTGCGACCTCGCCGCCGCCAAGGCGCTATTCAGCGCCGCGGCTCGCCGCAACGCCAAAACCTGGACAATCATGATGAGCATGCTCCCAGCGGATGACCGTGGCTCCGATGCCGTGTCGCTCTTCCGAGACATGCTCAGGGAGGGCGAGGCGCCCGACGATGTCACCGTCACCACCGTGCTCAACGTGCCTGGCTGCGATGTCGGGACACTCCATCCCGTGGTCACCAAGCTCGGCTTTGGCGCCAGTGTTGTCATCTGTAACACGCTGCTAGATGCGTACTGCAAGCAAGGATTCATTGCTGCTGCTCGGAGAGTCTTCCTGGAGATGCCACACAGGGACACCATAACGTACAATGCCATGATGATGGGCTGCTCCAGGGAGGGGCTGCACGGGGAGGCACTAGAGCTATTTGCTGCTATGCGACGTGAGGGCGTTGACACCAGCCACTTCACGTTCTCAAGTTTGCTAACCGTGGTGACAGGTATGGTTGATCTCTACCTTGGGCGTCAGATCCATGGTCTCTTTGTCAGGGCCAACCCATCACGTAATGTCTTTGTCAACAATGCATTGCTTGATTTCTACTCGAAATGTGACTCCCTTGGTGATCTGAAGCAGTTGTTTGATGAGATGCCAGAGCGGGACAATGTTTCATATAATGTGATGATATCTGCCTGTTCTTGGAACCGATGTGGTGGCATGGCTTTGCAGCTGTTCAGGGATATGCAGACACTCGGCTTTGACAGGCGGGCCTTACCATATGCTAGCTTGCTCAGTGTAGCTGGGGCACTGCCTCACATTAAGATTGGGAGACAAATACATGCACAATTGATCCTTCGTGGCCTTACTTCAGAGGATTTCGTGGGAAATGCCCTGATTGACATGTACTCAAAATGCGGTATGCTAGATGCTGCAAAGACTATTTTTGCATACAAAAGTGACAAAACTGCCATTTCCTGGACCGCGTTGATAACTGGGTGTGTCCAGAATGGGCAGAATGAGGAAGCATTGCAACTATTCTGTGACATGAGAAGAGCTGGTCTAAGTCCTGACAGGGCGACATGTTCTAGCATCATGAAGTCTTCCTCAAGCCTGGCAGTGATTGGGATAGGAAGGCAATTGCATGCTTACCTCACAAAATCAGGCCACATGCTCAGCGTGTTCTCAGGTAGTGCCCTTCTTGATATGTATGCAAAATGTGGCTGTTTGGATGAAGCCATCAGAACATTTAATGAGATGCCCGAGAAGAATTCCATCACGTGGAATGCTGTAATTTCAGCATATGCACAATATGGACAAGCAAAGAATGCCATCAGGATGTTTGACAGCATGCTTCACTGTGGTCTTTGTCCTGATCCAGTCACTTTCTTGAGTGTGCTAGCAGCCTGTGGTCACAATGGTCTTGCGGAAGAATGCATGAAATACTTTGACCTGATGAGATATTACTATAGCATGTCACCCTGGAAGGAACACTATTCTTGTGTTATTGATACCTTGGGTCGGGCAGGCTGTTTCGATAAAATTCAGAAAGTGTTAGATGAGATGCCATTTGAGGATGATCCAATAATATGGAGCTCCATTCTTCACTCGTGCAGGATCTACGGAAACCAGGATTTAGCTACAGTGGCTGCTGAAAAATTGTTCACTATGGTGCCCACAGACGCGACTGCCTATGTCATACTATCCAACATATATGCTAAAGCTGGTAATTGGGAAGGTGCTGCACGTGTGAAAAAGATTATGAGAGATAGAGGAGTTAAGAAAGAGTCAGGTAACAGTTGGGTTGAAATCAAGCAAAAGATCTACATGTTCTCTTCTAATGATCACACCAACCCAATGATAGATGAGATTAAAGAAGAGCTTGAGAGGTTGTACGAAGAGATGGATAAACAAGGCTATGAGCCCGATACTAGCTGTGCCTTGCATATGGTGGATAATAAGGAAAAGTTGGAGTCACTGAAATACCACAGTGAGAGATTGGCCATCACGTTTGCCTTGATTAATACCCCACCAGGGACACCAATTACGGTTATGAAGAACTTGAGTTCCTGCCTAGATTGTCATGCTGCCATCAAGATGATATCAAAGATTGTGAACAGAGACATTATCGTAAGAGACTCACGCAGGTTTCACCATTTCAAGGATGGGTTTTGCTCTTGCGGAGACTACTGGTAGGAACTTGGCTGGCTGCCTAGTTAGATGAACAATAAAAGTTACACACTGAAGGTCGACAGGAACATATATTTCAGGTATAGTGTATGTACTAATGATAAACTGAACGTAGTGCTGTTCTTCGCATTACCATTATGGTGCAATGTTGTTAATGGTATTGAAGTTCCTCAGTTTTATTTTTGGGGACAAAAAGGTATCAATGGTTTTCTATTGCATCCATGTCGGTGGACCATGGAGGAGTGGAAGTGAATCTGAGATCCATATCCATTTTCAGCTTCTTTTATAATCCGTCTTTTTCAGCTTGTTTTTTCGGCCAGAACAGTGTTTTTCTCTCACAACAAATCAGCCGGAACAGTGTTTTGTCTTGTTTTTTTAGCGAAGCGAACGGGGCTTCATGTATTTAAGGTGTGAAATGAAATTGTTCCCATTGTAGTTTCCCAAATTTAGCCACACATAATAATTGCTGAATCTGAAAATTACCTGCGTCTGTGAATTTCTATTGCCGCGTTCCTGTCAAAAAAAAAAACTCTGGTCACATTGATATTCCTAGTGATTCAACTGTAGTTCCTGCTGAGTTTGACTACAAGCCAAAAGTCGCATTACGCAGATTCTTAAAATCATGGTTATATAGATTTCTATGCATTTATAGTTGCCATTGTCCTAAATTTGAATACCTTCCCTTTTCTTAACTGTACCTGAAGACTTTTATGGTTTGCGCAGAACTGAAGACAACACTGAATCATTTGCTGTTGAAACTTGAGTCATAACCACAGTGGTACTTGGTTCAGTTGTAATTGACGTATTCAAGGCGAACAAAGGGTTGTTATCATTCAGCCTTGAGGCCTGACAGGTTAGTGCCTTTAGTTTTGAAGATACACTTTTAGTTGCGATTGTTTCTCTCTTGAGAAGGATGTGTTCCACTGGAAACCCATGATGAGGGAGGTTTTATGTACACTTCTCCTGGTAGCATGAGTAGCTTGTAGCATGACAGCTTATACTGTGTTTGCTAGTCTTTGTTAGAAGAGAAATGTCAACTATGGTGAGAAAAGTAAACAAGTCAGGCACAACTTTCCAAAAGTAAAAAAAACAAAACAAATATGGTCACATAATAGAGTATCTACATATATTTCGAGCATTTTCCCCCCAAGGCATACTAGTATGAGTGCTACTTCCTTCACACACAAAAAAGTATGGTTGTTACTTGTCTGATAATAAAAAATGGGACGTTTTAGTTTATCAGATATTCCATGGATGGGTGAATTATGGTGCCTTGCATCAGTGTCGACTCTACGCATTCTTTGGAAATTGGAAATTCAAAAAAGGAAAGAAAATCTTGGTACCGGTCTGTAGAAAAATATCTTTGCCTGGAGGCATTGGTGCTGATATAAAAATCCGTGGACTGTAGCGAATTCGGTTAGGCAAGGTCTGAACGGCCGGCCAGCCGCACCCTGGTCCTGGTGGGGTTGAGGACTTGAGCTTGAGGCTGAGGCTAAAGCTAACCAAGCGGTCTGTGATGGAGCACGTCAGTCACACAACTCACAAGATTTTACAGCGTTGCGACTCTATCGCTGTGGAGTGTGGACTCGGATTTTCCTTTTTCTTTGATGATGATGAGGGATGCGGACCAGCAGCCTAGCAGAAATTAGAGCAAAGTTGACAAAACGTAGTATTTCTAGTGGACCAGTAGTGTGCTATGCGTGCGCACGCTCACACCTTATGTTTTTTTTCTATATTAAATTTTTCCTTTTTTTGCTGCGAAAACTACCCAGAGCAGTAAATAGCCACAGTTACCAGCTGACCTCTCTCGATTCCTTTGGCCGCCTGGTGGCTTTCTTCTTGGTCTCGTTCCTTCGGCTGGACACCTGTGGCCGCGGCCGCGCTGCTTGCCTTGACTTGCTCTCGATTCGTGGGCATGGCGGCTTCGCCGGCTTGTGCTCCAGGCCTCATCTCCGGCCCCACGCTCCCTCCGCAGCCCGTTACCTTCCGCTGCTACTGGGCCCAAAATCCCTCCTACGCGTCGTCCACCTCCAGGCGCCCGCGCCTCAGGCGGTTCGTTCCGGTTGCAGCTGCCTCCACCCGCACCTCCCCTGCGGTCGCTCGGGGCCTCGACGCGGACGACTTCCGCCACCCGCTCGACAAGCAGGCTAGCTTTCCTTGATTTGACAAAATCTTTTCTTTCTGTCCACGTATAATCATCGATTGCGGCTGCGGATGATAGATGAAGTTCCTGTCTTCTGAAAGAGAAGCCTTTTTTTTTCTTGTTTCACAGAATACTTTGCTGCTAAGAGCGATTCCTGGGCTCAACGACATAGGCAAAGCTTTGTTAGGTCGCTCACTCACATTTCTCCCTCAGCGTTACCAATCCATCTCAACGTAGTATCCTCAACGATTCATTCTTGCTTTCTTTTGCTACTGCAGGACCTGTCTCGGAGCAAGTTATGGTCCTCCAGAACATTGGAACATCAGTTCTCGTCTCCCCAAACCAGGTCCGATCTGCCTGTCGCATTAATCAACTCAATGTATTCTGAACTTCTGCACGCTGATAACACGCTTGACTGACTGATATCATTGACTTCTGTTGTTTCCGGACCTTATAGTTTGTTGTTTTGTCTATCACCACACCCTACAGGTTACTGTAATTCAGGAAACTACTGATTTGTTTTCTCTCTTCAGCTTCCAGATCTCCACCAACTGCTGGCTGAGGCTGCAACGCTCTTGAACATAGAAGCTCCTGACTTGTACATAAGGCAGAATCCTGTTCCAAATGCTTACACCTTAGCAATCAATGGCAAAAAACCATTCATCGTCGTTCACACAAGCCTTGTCGAGCTGCTTACTCCAAAGGAATTGCAGGTGCTGTTGTGTCTAAACAAACTCATCAACTGACAATGTCTAGATGAACAATCCAAATAAAAATTATTATTTGCTTACCTAGTGTCAGAATGCATCGATTACTCATCATATAGGATTTGTTTCAATTAGGCTGTTTTGGCTCATGAGCTGGGTCACCTCAAGTGCGATCATGGTGTGTGGCTCACTTTCGCCAATATACTCACAATGGGAGCATACACTGTCCCTGGTAGACCATCTAACCACTTAATATCTCATTAGAAGGGTGGGCTATGTACCTACACTTCATTTCAACCGCATCTCATGGTAAGTGCATGCATTTTCTTCAGGTTTTGGCATGGTTGCTGGCTTCCTGGAAGAGCAGCTATACAGATGGCTACGAGCTGCAGAGCTGACTTGTGACAGGGCAGCTCTTCTTGTTGTGCAAGACCCAAAGGTACCTTCAGTCTGAAACTACCTCATTTTTTAAAGTTGATTTGTATTGAACATGAGGTGTAGCAGAATAGCTAGCAATGCTACTCTTCTATCTTTGATTTTGCTCTGGAAGTGGATTTTTTGCATGGTGCGGTCATGGATTATATATGACTCTGAGCAAAAGTAGAGGTTCTTGTAGTTTTCATCATCCAAGTAACAATTTTTAGTGCGTAGAAAGAGCAGCTGTTCTTCAATTTCGAAGAAAAGGAGCAGCTGCTAGTGAATTTAACATATAATGCATCCATGCTTACTCTACAAGTTGGTATCTTCACCTAATGCTAAACTCTTGATTGTTGAGAGGTAGTCATCTCCATTCTTGACTGTCTGAAAATACAAATAAACTGTCTTGTGTTGTAATGCTTATCCTGCAAGTCTGTGTCATCACCTGATACTTATTCTTCATTGTCAAGAGGTTGTCATCTCTGTTCTGATGAAATTGGCCGGAGGATGCCCATCTCTTGCCGACCAGCTAAACGTGGATGCCTTCTTGGAGCAAGCTCGTTCCTACGACAAAGCTGCATCGAACCCAGTTGGGTGGTACATCCGGTTAGAACTGTTATCACTTGAACCATGATTGGCGACATTAGTGTTGTTGAAATGAGTATGTGTTGTATGACATTTCTTTCCCAATCTCTTTACATGCTGCAGGAACGCACAAACCAGAGAGCTTTCACACCCTTTGCCTGTGATGCGAGCCCTGCGAGATTGATGAGTGGTCAAGAAGCCAGGAGTACAAGACCATAATGCAAAAAATGCTTCAGCTGGGGCTAAACAGAGTATAGTTAGTGGTAACACATACGAAAAGGTTTGTTGACCAAATCCCACATGTTTCTTTGCAAGGATTTAGCTTCAAATCGTGACTATTCTTTTGCTGTATATCTGATCATGAGTTTGTGTTTTCCTCCTCCTGGGTGGCTGGGCACCATTTTTTTCAGCACTGTAGACTTTGTAGCTTGTGTATGGAAGGGAATGCCTGTATTTGGAGAAGACTGGTGCTGCTGGAAAACAGATACAAGCATAGACATACTGTATATATTTGCAGTTGAATTTAGTTTCCTTGTGTATGCTCTCTTTTTCTTTCTTTGTGTCACTGTACAATACTGTAACTAGAATGAATAAAAGTTTACTTGAGCTGCCGATTAACTGGAAGGATACGCTGCCTTTCTAGGTCTGAGTCCCGTGACAATGTGATGCATAAGAGGCTATTGTGACTTGGATCAGTGGCTAGTAATTAAGTTTGGCAAGAAAAACAGGATAATCTTGGCTATTTGTGTTCCAATCCTCCTATATCCAGACAGAGCATATCCAGACAGAGCAACAGAGGTTAATTTGGTTCGCAAACAGATTTTGGCAGAAGATTGAACCTGGCTTGAATTGGCCTAATTCTGGTGTATTTTGGCTCCAAATTGAATTGGCCTAGTTCTAGTGTATTTGGGCTCACAAGTTGGATGCATTTCGTCTTACGCATACTCCCCTGCCCCTAAATATATGTCATTTTTTTATTTTCGAGAAACAATTTTAATTAAATATATATTAAAAAATATTAATATTTATGGTGTATAATTAATATCATTGGAAAGATTTTTAAATTTAATTTTTTAATAAATTCATTTGAAGGTAAAAATATTATACGTATTTTTTATAAATCGAGTCAAACTTACTGCTAACTGTGACGCTGAGGGACTGAGGGGCCACACACACCAATTGTGTCTGGACCAAGGTACCGTTTAGTTCCACTTTATTTTGCAAAAATTTTCAAGATTCTCCATCACATAGAATCTTTAGACGCATACATGAAGCATTAAATATAAATAAAAAATAAAACTAATTATACAGTTTAGATGAAATTCACGAGCCTAATTAGATTATAATTAGACACTAATTATCAAGTAACAACGAAAGTGCCATGATACTGTTTCGCCAAAAATTTTGCGAACGGTGCCCAGCTGACTGACCGAGAAAGAAGGCCACACCTGTCCGGCGGTCCCCGCCGCCTCCACCCGGGGAGCAGCTGCTTGCAGCCACTGGCACTGCAGTCTGCAGAAGAGGAAGGAGGGCCAAAGCGCAAAAGCCGGAAAGGCGATCGACACGTACACGTACGATAAAGATGGGGATGGCATTGGCATCGCCATTGGCCATTGCCGCCGGTGTCACAGGTAGGTACACCGCTCCCCTTCCCTGCCTGCCTGCCTGCCTGCTCGTCTACTGGTGCCCTGACAGTTTTGGCTCGATCCGACTCCGAGTCCGAGGTAGGGCTTGTTCCGTTCCAGGATGAGCTTCCTCGCTCCGCCGCCGCCGTCGCTCAAGGCAGCCGCGGGCGTTCCGGCGGCCGGAATCGGCATCCCGTGGCCGCGGCAGCGATTGGATGGTCGCCGTTTGCGAGCAGCCCCAGCAGGTCTTCCTCGACTGGCATCAGTGGTATCATCATTTATCCTGGATTTCCTGTCCTCCGTTGCATCAATCATATATGCCCAATGCGCAATCGGGTGGCTAGTAAGTAGTAACCACACAGCTACGCGCTCTGATTGAAATCGCATCGCACGCAGCAAAGCGTGGTGCTGGACATCGAGGGCACGACGAGCCCCATCTCGTTCGTGACGGACGTGCTCTTCCCCTACGCCCGCGACAACGTCCGCAAGCACCTGGACGCCACCTACGGCACCCACGAGACCAACGACGACATCGCCCTGCTGCGCGCTCAGGTCAGCTTTCCCGTTCCCCGTCTCCCGTCACGCTGAATGCCGCTGCTGAATTGCATTGCTCAACAGCCAATGAACTTCGGCTCCTTCTGAAAGAGGCCGGCTCGGAATGGAATCTTACAGGTCGAGCAGGACCTAGCCGAGGGCGTCGCCGGCGCCGTCCCGGTTCCGCCGGACGAGGCTGGAAAGGACAGCGTCATCGACGCTCTGGTCGCCAACGTGGAGGCCATGATCAAGGCGGATAGGAAAATAACCTCACTGAAGCAATTGCAGGTACTGATACTGATAACTGGCTACTTACTCTGTCTACTGACACTATCCGGCAATTCCTTCAATTTCAGGTTGAAAATCTGGCCAGGTCAGATTCAGAACACCCTGAGATGATTTGATTCAGAACACCCTGAGATGATTTCTCATTTTCTCTTCATTGGTTGAAGGGCCACATCTGGAGGACTGGGTTCGAGGGCCAAGAAATCAAGGGAGTGGTGTTCGATGACGTGCCACCAGTTCTCGAGAAGTGGCACGCGAGCGGCATCAAGGTTCTCGCTCCTCCTCTACTAATAAATTTATATATGTGGATACGTACATTGATCATTCCATAGCACATTTTACCATTTGTCATCAACCATATACACTGATTGACTAACAGCTCTTGCTGAACTTAGTTTGATTTACATATGCTTGCAGACGTACATATATTCCAGTGGTAGCAGAGAAGCCCAGAGGCTTATTTTCGGGAACACTACCTACGGCGACCTTAGAAAGCACCTGTGTGGATTTTTTGACACGACAATTGGGTACGCTGTACAGCTAATATCACCTTCCGTTCATTGATTCATATCACTCTATATGACTGTGATTGTTAATTTATCCTTTTGGCGTCTGCAATGAAGAACCAAGAGAGAAGCTCGCAGCTACTACGAAATCTGGCAGTCCGTTGGGGTAGATCGGCCGTCTCAGATATTGTTCTTGACAGATGTGTATCAAGAAGCCACAGCAGCACAGGCCGCAGGTGAGCTTCTCACCACATTTTTCCTTGCTAAAAATCCAGCATGTACTACGAGAATATCTACCAGTTAGACAACTTAGATTCATGTACTAGGAGAACCATCCAATACGACTAAAATCCAACATGTAGATACAACACTTTTCCTTTGGGCAATTTTCCAACTATTGAAATTGCCAACCTCAGGGCAAATGGCAATTCACAAATCAAGTTGCACATCGATCACATCCATGTAGATGGCAATGGTCAAAATGTCAATCTTTCTGAAACTCATGCTGTCATGAATTGTTTAAACTTTTTACAGGCCTTGAGGTACTAATATCTATCAGACCTGGAAATGCGCCACTCCCTGAAAACCATGGGTTTGAGACAATCAAGTCATTTGCTGAAATCTTGACATGAAAGATGCATCTTCGACATGCCATATGCAGAAATTGTTATTTCTAGATGGAAACAAGCTAGTTCCAGATTAGATATATGTAAACTAGCACAGTTAACAATAACTAGCAAGTTAAAGGCAGACGGAATGGTTTGAAGACCTTTGATTGTGACTTGCTATGAACAAAAACAGAAAATACATAGATATCTCTTATTTCACAAAAAAAATCCTTGTGCTACAATGCATTTGTAGAAAGATCTATATATTGGGTGAAATGTGTTTGTAAGGTTATATATGTATTGGGCAATGCTACAAAAACGACCAACATAGAAGCTCAACAACACATAAACAGGAGCAAGACAGACCTTGGTCTCATTTGCATCTCCTTCATACTAGTTTTACATTGTCATTCATCTGTTGCACACTTGCACATGTTTCAATTGATGACAAATCCACTTCCTGAATTCAATCAAACAACAAATATTGTCACATCTATAATGTGTACAGAAAGATACCCCCTACAAATAGACAAAAGCTCAAGAAATGAGAACCTGCAGAGGGAGACAGACTATATATATCCCCCCACCTTAATCTTGCATTTCAATGTCGGTGGATTAAGCTTCATACTGCATGCTTGAATGGAGACAACCAGATCCTCAATTCTTAGCGGAACATGCGTTGCCACATGCTGGAACAAAGCTTGAAACTATCACAGTTTCTATGTGCATTAATTATTCTGCCACCTAGCTGATGTGGCAAGCAATTTATTGATAGGTAGATAAGGAAGAGAGAACATGTGAGATTATTCTGCACTCCCTCCGTACTAGATGGTGCTTCCGATGTTTACAAATGAAGTAGTTTTGCATGCATTAGCTGTGTTTTGGGCTAGATTACCCCTGATCCTTTCCTATCCCGGCGCAGTGCGAGGAATTGAACCTTGCACCTCTCAGCTGAGGCCTCTCCGCATTAACCAACCCAGCTGAGAATGTTTGTTTAATAGAAGATACCGCAAGGCTATTTAACAAGGACAAACAAGAAAAAATATATCCAAACTTGACCACTGTTTGGTACGCTAAATCATGTCAAAGTGACTTTATTTTTGAGTATATGGAGGGAGTAGAAACTATCCATCGGAAACGTCTACATAACTTTACATGATTTTTAGCATTGGACAGACTCGACTATAGGTTCTATGACTATTTATTACCCTCTGTTTATTAATTTTTGTTGACGTAGCACTGTATTTACTGAAGAAATATAGAAGAAAAAAAACCGAGTCTATAGACCGTCTACGATGGAATCCAGGCGGAAGAAAGAAACTACGCCGTCCACGTTGGATCGAGCATTCCAGCCTCCCAGATCCCGTGCGCTCACCGTGTCCGCAAAGCTTGCCGCCGCTGTGGAGCTCGCGCCCAGCCTACAGGCGCCGCCGCTGTGGATCTCGCGCGCCCCATCGGGCTGTTTGCGAGCTCGCACGCGACCGGCCCGCGCCGCCGCTGCGGACCTCACGCGACCCATCGAGTCGCTTGCGGAGCTCGCACGTGGCCGGCCGGCGACGCCGCTGCGAGACGGGCGGGAGCGCGACCCGGTGAGCTGGCCCGTGGTGGCGAAAAGGGTGAGAAGATGACGCTGATGTTTCGTGTGCAGGTGCTCCCCGGTGGCCTGCAAGAGGTGATGACCTCCAAGGGCACCATGTCCGACGAGGCGACGAGTCCCTCGTCGCCATGGATACTACTGCTACTGCTACTGTTACGGCTGGAAGGAGATGAATCCAATTGCAAGCTAGACTCGCCCGGTCAACAGAGGAGATGAGACATCGATTAGGAGCACACAAGCTTTTGGTAGGAGTAGCACAGTAGTAATTTGTTTGCCCTTGCTCCTCTCGTCAGGGTTGAGTCATGCGGCGGAAATTCGGAATCGTGCGTGGTCGCGGCAGCCGGGAACTCCTGCGCTGACTGGGCGGATGGAGCAGAGGATCCGGTGAATAATCCTTAAGATTTTTATCAGACTCAAGGTAGAAAAATTGCATTTTGAAGCATAGTTTCTGGACACAGTATCTAGTCTACAGAAACCACTTCTACTTGCATTGGGAGTGCCCTTAGGCTTTCCAACAAACCGCAGCTGACCGACATGCATGTTTCCATCCACAAGTTTCACACTTCCATCTCTAACAGCAAAGCGGAGAAGGTTCCCTGGTCGCAGGTTTGACTTTCGTATGAATTCACTGTCCAGACCACCAAATACAATAGGAGGATTGTCAGAACTCAGAAGTAACTCCTTGCCATCTTCTTGCAACTCCAGCACAAGATGCTGCTCACTTGGTATTTCTCCCTTACTGTCAGTGTCAATAACATACTGGCTACAAGCCCTATCTTTCCATACTAGTGCGAGCGCTGTGATTCCAGCTTGATAATGTGCATGTTTGCTGTAAAACAGTAGGCCATCTTTAGCATAAGATGTGAAGCGACCTGATTTCCGCGAAGAGAAATCCACGAAGTCGAAGTGTAATAAGACCGTTGTAGATCATATTACCTAAATTCCAGTTGAATATTACATTCATACAACGATAATATCAGAGTATAAATAGTATGGAATTACATAAATTATTACATCGCCGCATTGACGGAATCAAAAGTAGCATTCATTCAGAACAGCTTGAAGATAAGATCGCCAAACTTGAGCGTAGGAACGAACCTCTCAACCGTTAAACTCCTCAGAGCTATACTCCTCAGCAGAACCTGTGTGCTAAAATTTATCAGTACGATTTGTACTGGTTACTCCCACCCTATGAGCATTGCTTTGTGGAAATTGGATGCAAGTTGGATATAATCAAAGGAACCTATAAAGCTGGGGTTTCCTATGTATTAGCATATTAAGTACATAATAATAGTTGGTCAAGTTTTAACACCATTTCCACACCCATTCCACCCCATTTCTGTCCAGAGCCAGGTTTCGATCCTGGGATCGATACACCACCATCTCCACACCATCACCATACCACACCCATACCATCACTCAGTCGACAGGCTAACTCCCTCTCGGCACTGTCTCAAGGCCCGTAGCCCCTGGCTATATCCGAACACTCACTCCCTGGGGGAGAAGAGAAGGACTCATCTCACTATCTAGTTTAAGCGAAACCCAGGAAAGGTCCATAGCCGACAAGTCGGCATATGTATCGATCGATCAACCATACACTCTGCAGAGGTTTTACATAACCACAAGATCCGCCTTCCTTGCTGACCGCCGTCAACTGGGCTGATTCCGGCCGCTTGCTAGCCTAGGATAATACCACTCTACCATTCAGCCCTGGTACACCCCAAGTCTAGTCTGGGGTGGCTGAAACTGTGAGTCATGAGCCGGGTCCACAAGGTCTCCATGAAGTCTCGGAAGGGTGTGGGGGAAATCCTCCGCGCCCCGTACCTCCCTCTCACTGTTCGCTATCAACCTAGCAGTAGTGGCAACATCCTACCAAGTAGTCCGGCCGTCCCGCACCATATAGGGCGAGTGGTACGTAAGGCTTTCCGGTGAATCTGAGTACTAGTAAGTCCTTAGGGATGACCAAGCCAGAATGTCTCCATCAGGGTTTCCATTTACCGTGCCACCACAGCACCTCCACCCTGGGCTCCTCCCATCACAGGTTCACACTCAGGGCCACCTCATATACCATTTACCCACCACAGGTATCCATTCCAGGGGTGCCCAGATAGCACCCCACGGCAAGACTTGCCCCAGGCTTGTCGTATACTCCAACTTGGTCGACACAACCCTCACCCTCCACGCACCCAAGTCACACACGCAGCACTCTCCCCATAGTCCAGATAACACCAGTTTCCACCACGCATCAATGTAGTGCAAGCGTAGTAGAAGTAATGAGCAATGAAATATAATAGCAAGCGTGTGGCTAGCCTAACAGCAAGGTGAGCAGGGGTAAGGTTGCGTCAAGGTAAAGGCCATCAAGAAAGCATACTACCATGCAAGTCCTATCATAGTGTGATTATAACAATAAAGTAAAGCAATAGCAGTTCTATATTAGCCATGCGTAATAGGTGCTACGAGATTGGGTGGGATGTGGCACCTTCAGTGTAGTCGTCTCCGTACTCCTCACGGTACTCTCGGTCCTCGTCCGTCTAGTTCTCCTCCGAGTCTGCATACGATCGAATTATAGTCGCGTTAGCGACGCCTATAGAATAGCACAAAGAAGCAGTGAAAATTCAAAAGAGCCAAATGCACTCAAACATGGGTTCATTGCGTAGAGCTCAATTTTAGATGGATTTTGGTCCTGGTCTTGTATTTTTCTGAGATTGTATGAATTAGTTATATATTTCTGAAGATTAAATTAAGGCTGATTAATTCAAGGTTGACACGTGTCAGACTGTGACTGGTTCTCGTGGTCTTGGAGTGGTGTATCAGCTGGTGTGGTGGTCGGAGAGGTCGCAGAGGTGGTCGGAAAGGTTGCAGCGGTGGTCGGAGAGATCACTGAAGTGGTCGGAGAGCTCGCCGACGTGGTCAGTGAGATCGCCGAAGTGGTCGGAAAGGTCGCCGAGGTGGTCGAAAGGCTGGCCGAGGTGGTCGGAGAGCTTCGCCGACGTGGTCGGTGAGATCGCTGGGGTCCCCGACGCTGGTGTGGTCTCTTCATCGGCATGACGTCAGCATGGCTCCATCCGAGCTAAACCGCGGCTGACAGGTGGGTCTGGGGTCAAACGGCGTCTGACAGGTGAGGCACGGTTCATGGTGTACCCGCCTGTGTTGGTCCATTGACCGCAGAGCCGATCTATGAAGAACTTGGTCCACTTACTCCTTCCCAGTGTTCGGTTCACGTGCACCCAGTGCTCGGACGTGTGGCCGGCGAGGGAAAAATTACAATCTTCTTCCCCGTCATGCTCCCGCCGGTGGTGAGCTCACCGGCGAGCCCCTCCAGTGGCGCGGGTGTGCAATTAAGGTGGGCAAAAGCTTGGCCATGCCATAGCGGGTGTCCTGGTGAAGTTAACGCGGTGGTCGGGCGGCTCCAGTTGGCTGGCCGTGG